GTCCAATTCAGTCAAAAACAATAAGATTATTAAAAGAAAAGGTAAAAAAAAATTGAAACAAAACAAATTAAAAACCATCAGCTCTGCTTGATTCAAAGGAATATCCTCTGACCTGCGGGGGTCCCGCAAGGCTTCATTTTGGGTCCACTGCTTTTAAGAAGTTAACTTAAATAAAAACCTGTCGTGCTCTTTGTGTTTGCTGCTCCAAATCCCTCCAAACTTTTAAATGTTTGCTCAAGATACGTCTTTATTCCTACAATGGAGTATCACGGCAAGACTACGAGAATAATGTCAATACATTACAAAAATTTGAAATATTACGAGAATAACGTCTTCAAAATAGACACAATAATTTCAAAGGCTTGCTACTGATGATAATTTGTTAAAGAATAAGTATTTCCTTATTTGTAAAACCAATACCCAAATTATAACTTCATAAAATGATCAAAATTCCTCATATTAATGCTGTGGTAARACTGCTTTTTCCTGTAGTTCTTATAATATTATGACTTTATTCTYGTRATTAAAAGARAAATGAATATTCTCATACCCAGGCCCCAATACTCAGATCTTGAGCAAATATTTAAAAGTTTGGAGAGAATTTGGAGCAGCAAACACAAAGAGCCTTATTTAAGTTAACATCTAAAAAGCAGTGGGCCCAAAATGAAGCCTTGCAGGACCCCCACAAGTCAGAGGAGCAAAATTCCTGTTGGTTCAGATCAACCTGAACCAGGATTAAACTGGACCTCTGACACCAACAACCTGCTCGAGTTTTAATTTCTAATAACTGAGGTGGAGCTAGACTTCTTTTCAAGAAGTGGCACAGTGGTGGCCAGGGTGGTTTTAAGGGGCGAAGCATACAAACCCAGAAAAGCCCTCTGTATTGGAAATTCAACATGGCTGCCACTGCTAACTCYAAAAGGCTTTAATTCACCTGTTTCAAGAAATCTTCAGCTGAAAATGTGTGATCATATAGAATTATCTAAAAAAATACATGCTAAATACCAATAACAACCTGTTTTTAGACATACAAAGCTGAAGATTAGTGTAGAATTAATCGAAAACATTCTTTACCAAATTCTAAATGCTAATCAAAAATTCAAGCTGGCCACCTTAGCTAACTTTAAAAGGCTATAATTCAGCCATTTTAAGACTTATTGAGATGAAATTTGTTGTGGAGTAGCTAAGAATGATCACATACCAATTGCCAATGCTAATCCCAAATRAGCTAACAACTAATGCTAATGTTACAAAGGGCTATATTTCAGCCTTTTTTAAACATACACAGCTGAAAATGTATACWGWACAGTAGCGTCAGAGAATGAAAATGCAAAAAAAATCCATAATTCCCACCCACTTGTCAACTATTTGTGGGTGGCACTCGGGGTGGTCAACCAAGGGCTACCCCTGCCACCCCTCTAGCTCYGCCCCTGTAAAATAAGAGCCAAAAGTCTTAGTCCAGGTTAGAATGACAACTTCCAACATCACCTTTAATTTTACTGAATTATACCCTTAAATCCCCCCCAAAATTTAATTTTTAAATATAAAAGAAACCATCTAGAGTTAGTTTCTCCTGTAAACAATACGTCTGCAGAGACCCTCTTTGGTAGTATTTTTAAATGTTGCTTTTTAACGCTGAAGTACGGGAACATTTTCTCGGTCAAGTTGGGCGTAAAGGTGAATATGTGGGCTTCAGAATCTGCGTCACAGAACAACTGTTTTCTTTTCTCCCAGTCCAGACTGGCTCTGATCCTCCTGAGGGTCTTCAGGTTGAAAAGAATCTGCTGATCCAAAGGASAGATGGCTTCATATAAACCGTTAGAGAACCTGATGGTCCACAGTCCAGCCTTTGTGTCCCCTTTCCTTTGGACGGACTCTGCTGCGACGCCCAGACCCCAGCTGGTGCTGTCCCCCACCTCCACCTCCCAGCTGTGGATCCCAGATGTGAACCCCTCAGAACCCAGGACGGCCCGGTCCACGTCAAACCTCTCTGGGTTGTCYGGAAGCTCCTGCCGCTYGTCGTGTCTCAGGGAGGTCAGGTCCTCGGACAGGACGAGGCCCGGGTGGGCCGTGTTCGGGTCCAGAGTCACGGGAGCGCAGGAAACCACGTCCATCATCCTGATCCAGATGTTGAAGCTCAGGTTGCCCAGATGTTTGGCTTCGTCCATCAGAGCTCCAGAGTCCAGCTGGGGATCGTYCAGCAGGTGGCGCTGCTGCACTCTGTTTGACGTCTGCTTGTACCTCTGCAGGAAGGAGACGTCCTGGTCTCGCAGCTCCTTCTCTGTCTCTCTGATGGTGTTGGACAGAAGAGACATCTGTCTGCTCAGAGCTTCAGATTCCTCCCTCACCRCTTTACTCCTCTGCTTCTCCTCCTCCCTCACAGCCGTGACCCTGGCCTCCTCTTCCTCCTGCAGGAACCGATGCAGCGTCCTGACCTGCTCTCTGATCTGCCTCTCCATCTTCCTGCTCTGGGCTTTGATGTGTYTGGCAGTTTGGTCGCAGGTTCCTTTCAGCCGCTCGCACAGTTTCAGCTTCTCCCGAACGGGCCCGAGGGATTCCTGGATCCGGTCTCTGTGGTCCMACGCGGCCTCGTCGACGGGCCTGAACCTGTGGCCGCTGTGCGTTTTGGAATCCCGGCACACCACGCACGCCGGCGTCTGGTGATCCAGACAGAAAAGCTTCAGCTTCTCCAGGTGCACAACACAGAGGTCCTCAGGCCCAGAAGAAGCAGCTCTGGACTTCGGCTCCTGCAGGAAGGCCTCACACAGGTTCTTCAGCGTCAGACTCATAGGTGGGTTACTCGCCAGAGGGAAGTCTTTGCAAACCGGACACTGGTTTATCTRTTTCTCCCTCCACCAGGTCTCCACGCAGGCTTTGCAGAAGCTGTGGCTGCAGGAGAGGACGACAGGATCTCTGAAGATTTCTTGGCACACGGGGCAGGAGAGCTCCGCGCGGGAAGCCATTTTTTTCTTCTTTTATGGGAGAAGCTGAAACCACAGAAAGCAGAAACAGGAAGTTTCCTTTTAGAATAAAAGTTTCTTCTTTTATTTTGCCTTCCTTATCTGGAGAAGAAATGTAAAACTACGAGAGGAGCTGCTTCCTTCAGAGACGAGACTCGGTTTCTGTCAGCAGCTGAAGGGAGATTTCTTGGTTTCAGTTTCATTTTGACTTCAAACACTCAGAGATTAACTCCTTGCATCAACACAGCTTCTGTGGGAAACAAGCCTTTAAATGTTTTTTTAATTAGCTGTTCATAAACTTTCATAAGTCCTTGAATTTGTTTATTTATGACCCCCGAGTGGGCCCAGAACCCAGCTTTGAGAACCGCTAAAATGCGTTCACAAAAAACACATATTTTAATGAAAAACTGCAAAGAAAGACGTCATGTTACTCAAATACTTTACTAAGTAAACATTTAATTATTATTTACTAAAAT